CAAGGGTACTTTGAGAACAGCTCAGATTCTTCTGAATGGAAGAAATGTTACTAGTTCAGAGTAACTTATTCCATCCTTTATAAACAAGGGATTTGAGTTGTCATCCGGCCTCTCTTGTCGGGGAGTCTTTGAAGGCATACATACATTATAATTTTATTACTTAAGCACATGGATCTATTCCTGTTCTTGTTTATTTGGGGGGTCTTGTTTTGAGAGAGGGTCTTATATGTAGAGTGGCCTCGGTGTCCATCTTCTTGCCTTAGCCTCCCAAGTGCTGGCATTACAGGCTTTACCACCACAACCAGCTAAGTGACAAAGTTCATGTTTTAAACATTTGTTTGTAATGTCTGTCAGCGAAATCTAAACTCCCTGGGGCTGGAGAGATGGCTCAGTGGTTAAGAACACTGGCTATTCCTTCAAAGAACCCAAGTTTAGTTCTCACTACCTGCTTGGCGGCTCATAACCATAACTCCAGTCCCAGGCCCTCTGGAGCACTAGGCATGCATGTGTTGCTCAGACATGTGTGTAGACCAAACACCCATAGGCATAGAATAACAATGATTTTTTGTTGTTGTTGTTTAATCTAAACTTTAAAATAGTCAGCCATTTTCTTCTGTCAGCTTCCATGTGTTTTTCAGTCTACCAGGCTGTGTCTTATACTTCTATATTACTGTGGTTTGGAGAAGGGGAAACAGTCTCACTCTGTGTCCCTGACTCCCCGACTGTCCTGAAACTCTGTGTAGCCCAGGCTGCCCTGGAACTTGCTCTTCCCCTCTTGCCTTTACTTCCTGGGTGCTGAGATTACAAGCATGCACCACCATGCCTGGCTGCCTTGTTTTTTTTTTTTTTTTTTTAAACAGTGCTGTGCAAAGGTCAGAAAAAGGAATTTTCACTAAACTCTTGTTATGTCTTTTGAATTTTGTATTATGTGCACATACTACACCGAAGATAAAATTATTGAATGTGTGCTAGGCAAGCACTCTACTATGGAGCTGCATTCCTAGTCCTTCTGCATTTGTTACTTCAATATAACAAATTGCTCTAAGACTTAGCAGCCTAAAACGGTGACTCATAGCCTTTAGTTTCCAAAGGTCAGGAAGCTGTGGCCTACCTGAGTCGGTTTGGCCCAGGGTTTCCAGCAAGGTTATCGTCAAGCTGTCAGCTGGAGTTGCTGGTGCTGTGGCTTTTAGTGGTAGTCTTTGTGCCTAGCCTGGGAGGGGCCCCATATTCAATCCTCAGCACTGCAGAAATAAGTAAAAAACACAATTACAGCCATTTCAAGACTCAGCTGGTGCTGGCAATGGTGATGCTAATTTGAAATTCTGGTACTCAGGAGGCTGAGGTGGGAGGATCTTGAGTTGCAAGCAGGCCTAAGCTAAGAAGATCCCATCTCGGATCTGAGAGATCTGACCCACACTCTGATGTGCCTGTTAGCAGGACTCACACTCTAGAGCAGCTGTGGGATAGTGTACATGGGACTGTCAGGAGGTCAGGATCTCTGAGGACCGCCTGGGTCACAACTACTTTGATCCCCTGGTTACCTAATGACACTTTCTGGATTTCTCATTTAGTGTCCTAGAGTCTCTTAATGGTCATCTTAGAAAATACTATGGGATGCCTAGGTTCATTTAAGTTTTGTAAAGTGTTCTAGTAAATTATTATATTTTGTTTTTGAGGAGGGGTCTCACTATGTAGCCTTGGTTGGCCTAGAACTTGCTGTGTAGACCAGGCTGGTCTGGAACTCAGAAGGCCTTCTGCCTCTGTGCCTCCCAAGCGCTGGGATTAAAGACATTATCACACTGGGCAGAGTGTTTAAAATATTAAAATAGGGTCTGGGGGTGGGGGCTGGAGTAATGGCTTAGTAGTTAAGAGCACTGACTGCTCTTCCAGAGGACCTGGGTTCAATCTCCAGCATCCACATAGCAGCTCACAACTGTCTGTAATTCCAGTTCTAGGAGACCCAACACCCATGGCAAAATGCCAAGGCACGAAAAAAAGTTAAATTTAAAAAAAAAATTAAAAAAATATATAATTCTTCATGTTGTGGTAACCCCCAACCGTAAAATTATAAACAATAAAATAAAATAGGGTCTGGGAGGCTAGGCGGTGTTGGCTCACGCCAGCACTCAGGAGGCAGAGCCAGGCAGATCTCTGTGAGTTCAAAGCCAGCCTGGTCTACAGAGTGAGTTCCAGGACAGCCAGGGTTACACAGAGAAGCCTTGTCTCAAAAAAATAAAAACAAAACAAAAAAGAGTACTGACTTCTCTTCCAGAGGCTCCTGGTTCTGTTCCTAGAATCCATATGGTACCTCACAACACGCTATAACTACTGTCTCAGGGGATCTGATGCCTTCTTCTGGCCTTCTCAGGTACTGCACACACATGGCATACAGACATCCATGCAGGCAAAACACCCATACACATAAAATAAAATTTTTGAGGGGAGTATGTTTTGAGACCAGGTTTCACTGTGTAGCTCTGGCTGTCCTGGAACTTAATCTGTAGACAGGCTGGCCTCAACTTAGAGATCTGCCTACTTCTGCTTCCAAAGTGCTGGGATTAAAGGCCAGTACTACCACCACCCAGCAAAATAAAAAATTTTTGAATGAAAGTTTACTTGTTAAAGTTTGATATAAGAGCGGGACGAAGGAGGGCCTGTAAAAAATCCAGGCTGTTTAGGAGACTGGAACAAGTTCAAGGTCAACATGATGAACTTAATGAGATCCTATTTTAAAAAAGGAGGAGAGTGAGATGGTTCAGCAGGTAAAGGCACTTGCTGCCAAGTCGGACACCAGAGCTCGATACTCCCAGCCCCGCCCACATGGTAGGAGGAGAGAAACAAGTAGGCATGTTGTCCTCTGACCTTCGGGAGCTCCGGGGCACACAGGCGTGTACACGTGTGTGGACACACGATAAGTAATGCAAGTGTGTTAAAAATGAGGGCCAGTGGGGTAGCTCTGCGGTGGGTGTGAACTGCTGTGTAGGTGCTGGGAATTGAATCTGGGTCTTCTGTAAGAACAAGTGTTCTTAACAACTGAGCCAACTTCTAACCTTGTGATTTGGTAAAGTTAAACAATGAAACTATATTATCTTTTTGTTTTGTTTTGAGATAAAACAAGGCTCTTTGTTGAGCTTGATAAGTAGCTGGAAGATGACCCTTGAACTACTGATCCTCCTGCCTCCACCTCCCAAATGGCTAATACATGTTTTTGTTGTTTTAATATGTGGGGGCCAGAAAGATGACTTGGTGGTTATGAGCGCTTACAGCTCTTCCAGAGGACCTGGGTTTGGTTCCCAGCACCCACTCAGAGCTACCTGTGGCTCTAGTCCTAGATGATCCAACATGCTTTTCTGGTTTCTATGGGAACCGGGCATACACATGGCACACATGCATATATGTAGAAAAATGTGAAGAATTTAAAATAAGTAAAGAGTGTGTGTGTACTGTGTGTTAGGTACCCACAGAGGCCAGAACGGGACTTTGATTCCCCTGAGCTTGCGTTATAGGCAGTTGTGAGCTTCCTGGCATGGTGCTGAGACTGGAACTCTGGTCCTCTGCAAAGCAGCGAGCACTCTTTTTTTTTTTTAGATTTATTTATTATGTATACAGCATTTATGACTTCGGGCCAGAAGAGGGCACCAGATCTCATTATAGATGGTTGTGAACCACCATGTGGTTGCTGGGAATTGAACTCAGGATTTCTGGAAGAGCTGCCAGTGCTCTTAACCTCTGAGCCATCTCTCCAGCCCCTAAAATCAACTTGTTTAAGGGGGCAAAAAGCACAGCTGTAAATAGAGAAGCCTGAGTGCCGACTCCCTGTAACCCAGTACTGGGGCAGTGGGGCGGGAAGACGAAGAGTCGGTCTGAGTTTCATGGTGAGGAGGGTCAGTCTTCAAACGACGGCCAAAATAAGCCAACCGAAAAGCAGCTGTGGTGGCTGAGGTGGCTACCAAGCCTGACAGCCGAGTTCAGTCCCCAGGACTCACATGGTTGGGGGAAAATCTGTATGTTGTTCTCTGACTTCACGTGTGCAGTGGTTGTTCACCCCCATACAACAAAGTAGTTTGATTTTTAGTTTCTTGAAGCCAGGATCTCACTATATAGCCTTCGCTGGCCTGAAACTTTATGCCAGACTGGCTTTGAACTTATGAATTCACCTGCCTCTGCTTCCTGAGTTCTGTAATAGAGGTGTATACAATGCCCTGCTTTTAAAAAAAATTAAAGAATTGTGAACTAAAGCCACTGTGAGTGCTCTGGTGATACAGGTCTGTAATCTCAGGTACTCAGTTCTGAGGCAGGAGGATTGTAAATTCTGGGCCTGCCTAGGTTGTAGAATAAGTACAAAGGTAGTTAGCAACTTAGTGAAACCCTGTCTCAAAATTCAAAAAGAGATCTGGAGAAATGACTTAGGTTAAGAGCATGTACTGTAAGCCTTTAATCCCAGCACTCAGGAGGCAGAGGCAGGTAGACTTCTGTGAGTTTGAGGCCAGCCTGGTCTACAGAGTGAGATCCAGGACAGGCACCAGAGCTACACAGAGACACGAGAGACACGAGAGACACGAGAGAGAGAGAGAGAGAGAGAGAGAGAGAGAGAGAGAGAGAGAGAGAGAGAGAGAATGAGAATGAGAATGTACTACTCTTAGAGAGGATCTGAGCTGTATTGCCAACACACACATTAGATCACACCTGTAACTCCAGCTCCAGGGGGACCCAACACCTCTGTGGGTACCAGTGCTCAAAACAGACCCACCCATGTCCATGTGCACATAACCGAAGATTATTTTTTTCAATTTACAAAGGGCTGGGACTAAAGCTTAGTGATGAAACATTTTTGTAGTGGGTGTAAGCCCTAGGTTCAGGGTCCAGTACCACCAAAGCAGACAACCCTGCCTGCTGTGGGGAACCAGTTAGTGGCCAAACTTATAAATAACTCCAAAGAAATTCTGCTTTACTTTAGAACATGAGCATGATATATTTTTATAGTTAAAAAGTGCCATGGGATCACTTTTGAGCCTTTTGGCTAAGATGAGGTAACTTTTCTCAACAATTTAATACCTGGTACGTTCTCCTATCCAAGGACGATATGGTAAATGGGTTTTTGGAGCCAGGAGATAGAGTAGGAGCTCACTCCACCTCCTCCATGCATAGGCTGGTATTGTAGTACCTCCAGGAACTGTGGACCCTGTGGGGGTTTTAAAAGATGCTAGAGAGGATTCAGATGACTGGAACAGTTGCCATTGCTGATGGGATGTTAAGTGGTACACCTGCTCTGTATCAACAGTTTGGTTGCTGCTTCGCCTAGGACACATTTGCTCTAAGGACCCCACTCCTGCTTATTTACCTCAAAGAGTTGTTCACACATAAACCCGTGGCTAGCATCTCTGTTCACAGTGATCAGAGCTGACCCATCCAGATGTTCTTGAATGGGAAAATGGGTCAACTGTAATATATCCCCAACAATACAGAATGCTCAGCAGCAAGAAAACTGAACTTCTGACAGTCCAGCAACAAGATGAGCTTGAGGGCATTGTGCTGAGTAAAAGAAACATGCTTCATACAGTTGGTGATGAATGACTAATCCCCCAGCTCTGGGGAGGCTGAGGCAGGAGGGTTTGAGGGGATGAGACCCTGTCTAACAAGAGCAGAAGCAGTGCCCTTCAGTCCTGTAATGCTGCAGAGACACAAAGGAGCAAGAAGAGCAGTTGAGGAAAGGGGGTACGGGAGGGTGTTGCTTTGTATCTTGTGTTACAGAAGTCTGGGCATCTTCACATTTGGTGCCATATGCCCTAAACAGTTTTGCTGTGTGCAAGTTAAGTGCAGTTACACCTAATAGGACTGATGTGGCTTATGAAAAATAAAAGCTGTGTTGATTTATGAAAGTTAGTATGATATTTATTCTGAAAATGACATGTATGTAAATAAACATCATTGGATCTTTCGAGAATTGTTATCATGCCTGCTTGTCCAAGAGCATTTGGCACTGGTTCCATCTGCCCTGGATTGCATGTAAAAGTCTCCTTTCAGTTACCCAGGCACTGTTGCCTTTCCCTGTGTGGATATTCTCTCGGGGTTTCTTTACAGACACCTTTTCCTCTGTGGCTGATAAAAACATCTGGTCCTACCTGACTCTTGGTCGTTTTTAAATCTGCTGTTGCCTTGGGCTGTTTGCCAGTCTCAGTAATTCCCTGCACACTCCAGCTAGAGTCGATAGCTGGCATTTGGGGGATAAGAGGCTTGTTTCTCATTCCCCAGATTTGGCCTCAGCCCTTTTCTGAGTAGAACTAGCGGAACGCTGTGGTGAGCACACCGCTTGTCCGTTTTCCCACATTACACCCTCTCACCACGCCCCACCTCTGCCTCAGAGTTCTTATACCCAAAAAATTGGAATCAATTGTTCTGTGGACCTGAAATTTTAGGCCTCTGGAATGACTCCTGTCTGTTTGTCTTCCTTAGGCAATCCAGTTCAGATGGGCTGTCTGTAACCCAAGGGATCCACTTTGCTCGCTCAGGCATTAAACACAACAAAAAGCTGCACTTAACGGCTGCTCATGGTACTTGAGCAGTCACGTTGGCTTTTAAGCGCAGAAATTTGATGCGATGTGAAAATAGTCATAGGTAGTTAAGAAGATTTAGCTTCTCAGCAGAGTATGTTTTGATATTTGATATTCTAATGACATCTGTCATTACAAAAGTTTTAAGTTTTTCTCCCTTTTGTAGGCTGTCATTATTTGTATCAAAAACAAAGAATTTGAAAAGGCTTCAAAAATTTTGAAAAAATACATGTCCAAGGACCCTACAACTCAGGTAAATTTGATACATTTTTTACTCCTGTGACTTAATCCATCTTACTGTCTTTGTGGAGCAGTAAGAAAAGGATTCTTTGTTAACACTGACATTTATCCCAGGTGTGGTAGGACACACCATAACTCCAGCACTTGGGGAGGCAGATGCAGGCAGATCTTTGCAAGACTAGCCTGGTCTATAGAGTGCATTCTAGGCCAGCCAGATCTAGAGTAAGACTTTGTATCTCACCCCCACCCCCCCCCAAAAAAAAAGTCATTTAAGTATTCACCTTTAAATACCCAACATCTTGTCTGTGGTCCCAACCTCTGAGAGCTTAAGCAGGAGGATTGCAAGCTTGAGGCCTGCCTTGGGCTATATAGAGAGTTGTAAGGCCAGCCTAAGAGACACAGTCTTAAAACATGCTTCACATCTTATTTTTAAGGTAACAGACTGGCTTCAGTGTCAGACTGGCCTTTCATAAACCACTTGTTTTTCTTGTTCTGTCTTTGTGATAGAACATTTAAATAACCAGTACCAGATAATCAACAAAAAGTATGAGACTTCTAGCCCTATCTATATAAATGTTAGTCCTGTAGACTTGGAGGGCTACTTTGGAAAAGTGTGGAAGTCATTTTGAGCTACAGCCTCAGTTGGGTTCTCTTCCCCCAACTTGTATTATTTTATAAACTTACATTTTAGGCTGGGGAGTATTACTTAATGGCAGGGCATTTGCCTAACATGCCCTGAGTTTGAAAACACACACACACACACACACACACACACACACACACACACACACACACACAAACACACACACACACACACACACACACACACACACAC